ATGAAGCTTGGTATGGAATCAAGCCTGATGTTGCTCACTTGAAGGTGTTTGGAAGCATTTGTTATTCTCACATTCTAGATCCTAAAAGAGATAAACTGAGTCAAAAGGCAGAGATTAGTGTCTTGGTGGGGTACTGTGGAAATGCTAAAGGTTATAAAGTATACAATCCACAAACAAACAAGGTGTATTCCAGTAGAGACATCAAGGTTGATGAGAAATCCTCATGGGATTGGGAGTCTAGAGTTCTTGTTCAGCCACAAGTTCAAAGAACACCTCCTGAAGTGGAAGAGACTGGTACAAATGAAGATGAAATAGAACCTAATGAAGTGGAGGATGATAGTGTATCTGATTCAGAAAATCGAGTGCTAAGAACCAGACCCTTAGTTGATGTGTATGTAAGATGTAATTTAGCAATTCTGGAACCAACAAATTTTGCTGATGCAGTAAATTCACAAGAGTGGTTGACTGCAATGAAAGAAGAACTGATGATGATCGAAAAGAATAAAACCTGGGAGCTGGTTGACAGGCCAGCGGATAAACATGTTATTGGTGTTAAATGGGTGTTCAAAACCAAGGTGGATCATGATGGCACAACAAGTTCAAAGTCAGGTTGGTTGTAAAGGGGTATGCACAACAATATGGTATAGATTACACAGATACTTTTGCTCCAGTGGCCAGATATGAAACTATCAGATTGTTGTTTGCAATAGCTGCTCAAAGTGGCTGGAAAATTCATCAACTTGATGTAAAGTCAGCTTTCTTAAACGGCTACTTAAATTAAGAAATTCATATTAACCAACCTGATGGCTTTCTAGTTTCTGGAAAGGAGGAAAAGGTGTATCTATTAAAGAAGACATTATATGGCTTGAAGCAGGCTCCAAGAGCCTGGTACAGCAGAATAGATGAGCATTTGAGTTGCCTTGGTTTTGCCAAAAGTGTTAATGAGCAAACACTTTATATGAAGCAAGTGGAAGAAGAAACAATCATCATTTCTTCGTATGTTGATGACCTACTAGTAACTGGTAGTAATCTGGCTTTAATCGACAAAGTGAAAGATGAAATGATGAAGGCATTTGAGATGACAGATCTAGGAGAAATGATGTACTTTCTAGGAATGGAAGTAAATCAATCAAAAGAAGGCATTTTCGTTTGTCAACAGAGATATGCCAATGAGATCTTGAAGAAGTTTTGCATGGAGAATTGCAAACCAGTTAGCACTCCACTGGTTCAAAATCTGAAATTGTTGAAAGAAGATGGAAGCATAAGAATTGATGAAAAGATGTACAGAAGTTTGGTAGGATGTTTAATGTATCTAACCATAACAAGATCAGATATCATGTATGCTACAAATCTCCTCTCCAGATTCAGACAAGAGCCAACGAATTTACATCTTCGGGCAGCAAAAAGAGTACTGAGGTACATCAAAGGGACTGCAGAATTGGGAATCTGGTTTAAGAAGACAGAAAATCTGATTTTAAGAGGTTATACCGATAGTGATTTGGCCGGATCTTTTGATGATATGAAGAGCGCCTTTGGGTATGTATTTTATCTGGGATCAAGCATTGTGTGCTGGAATTCAATGAAGCAAAAAACTATTGCTCAATCAACAGCAGAAGCAGAGTATATAGCAGCAGCAGAAGCAACAAATCAAGCACTGTGGCTGAGGAAAATGCTGGAAGATCTTAAGCATAAACAAGGTGATTCAACTATCATTTATTGTGAAACCAATCAGCAGTAGCAATGGTCAAAAATCCTGTGTTTCATGAGAGAACAAAGCATATTAAGATAAGATATCATTCAATTAGGGAAGCACAAGAAAATGATGAAATAAAGCTGATGCACTGCAATGGAGAAGTTCAATATGCAGTTATATTTACTAAATCCTTATCCAAAGGGAGGTTTGAAACATTAAGGAGATGTCTTGGTGTTTCCAGCAAAAATGTCAAGGGGGAGTATTGACTTTGGTTTGTCATTTTGTCACATTTTGTAATGTCTTTGTGTGTATTAAAATTAACCAATGTTATGTCTATTTTTTTGTGATTATAAAGTCTATCAATGTATGGTTATTTAGCCACTAGGTAAGGCTGTAGTTGGTAGGAGTTGTTGGCTAATGGTATGGCTGAAAATCTCTTGTATTACACTTTAAATAGCTGTACTGGTGCTTTTATTCGATGAATTTTATATAGCAAGAAATCTGTTTTTCTCTTCCTCTTTGTTCTATAAAATCCTACAGCAAACATCAATTAATAAAGATGAAGAAAACCAAGGAAAGACCCAGAAGGTTGCACTACCAGTCAGGGAGAGCTCAGAACACCCAACAAAAAAGATGATCATTACTCAAGATAGCACAATCGTTTTGGTGTCGCATGTTATTATTGTGGTCGTAAAGGACACTATGCAAAAGTTTGTTGAGTGAAGAGAAGGTACCCAAGGAAACTCTGTGACTTCAAATGAGGCAGCTCACCTATATATGAAATCTATAGGCGATAAGATTGGAGACAAGTAACAGCATCATAAACCAATAAAAACTAAACAAATCAACAACACATCTTCAACCAATGAATTATACGACCAGCCAATAAGAAGTGAAAGATAAGTCATGCTAGGCAACCAATAGAATTCTTGTGCAGCTTTCTTCGAGGAGAAGAAAATCTAGCTACTTGAAGTTCTTCGATAAGAAGGAAGCAGCAAAGTTTATGGCTGGAACACTTCACAATTAAGAAAACATATCATTGGCTAACATTTGTTGCCAGGCTTTAGGAAATTTATGGGAAATTATGGCAAAGACGTGCTGATTTTAAACACTCCTCAGCACCTACGTCTTTGATTTTATTTGTCATACCAAGTATATTCCAAGCAAGTTTTGGGCTGAATGCATGAAAATTACAACTTACGTGATCAATAGGCTACCACTATAGTTGGGATCATCTCACCCTTTGAAAAACTGTGGAGTATCAAACCCACAATAAGCTACTTTAAAGTGTTTGGGTATGTGTGCTATATATTCGTGCCTGATCGCCTTCGAAGCAAGTTCGATAAAAAGGCGATTAGATGCATTTTTATTGGTTACGATGATAATAGAAAAAGGCTAACGGTGATGTGATCCTAGCACTAATTGTTGCTATGTATCAAGAAATGTAGTATTCGATGAAGCTTCATCTTGGTGGTCAAATGAAGCAATTGCACTTCCAAATTCCAATGAAATGAAGGAAAGATTGATGGAGCCAGCGGAGAGCATACATAAGGATTTCAAAAGCTTAGATAAAGAGATGTCTACAGTTGATGGAAGAGAACAAGAGCCACACGTAGCAGAAGCTCCAGAAAAAGGTGAAAGCCCGTGGGACACTACTATGCTTAGAAATTAAGTGGAGAGGGTGAGGAAAATAGTTCATCACCACATATCAGGAGGTCTAGTGGACAACAAAAAACCAAATACCAAGTATGCTAATGCAGCCGTCATTGAAGAAATAGCATCATAAAGCCAACCACATACGAATAAGAATCCAAAAGCATGAATTGGAGAAAAGCAATAAAAGAAGAAATGTCTGCTTTGAAAGAAAACCAAACTGGGGAATTAGTTACAAAGCTTAAGGATGTCAAACCCATTTCTCATCAGTGGGTTTACAAGTTGAAGACTCAACCAGATGGTTCTATACAGAGATACAAAGCGCGGCTGGCGGCTCGAGGATATTCTCAACAATATGGACTTGATGAGACATTCAATCTTGTAGCTAAAATTACCACGGTCAGAGTTTTACTAGCACTAGCAGCAAGTAAAGCTTAGAAGTTATTGTAGATGGATGTCAAGAATGCTTTCCTTCACGGATAGCTAGATCGAGAAATATATGGGGTGCAAGGTTTTGAGGATAAAGCTCAGAAAGAGTATGTTTGCAAGTTGAAAAGTTCTATATGGATTAAAAGATAGCTGATTTCGTAGTCCAAGGAGGGCACACAATCGCATCTTCAGATTCAAGTCAATTTGTGAAGGCTTGTGAAGGTAAACTAGCAATAGTACTAGTTTATGTGGATGACTTGATAATCACTAGAGTCAATTAAGATGATATCAAATTGGTACAAGAAAATTTATCGGTTCGATTTCAAATGAAAGAACTTGGAGAACAGAAACATTTTCTTGGGATCGAGCTAGAACAAACACGAGAAGGATTATTATTATGTCAACAGGGGTACACCAAAGATCTAAAAAAGTTTGAAATGTTTGACTGCAAACCTATCTCTATCCCCATGGAACCGAATGCTAAGCTATGTTCATATGAAGGCAAAAATTTGAAGGATACTACTATGTATCGTCAATTTTTAGGAAGCCTAATTTACTTGACACTAACGAGACCAGATATTTCATTCGCTATTGGAGTGCCAAGTCGATTTATACAAAATCCAAAGAAGCCTCATCTAGAAGCTACTAGGTGTATATTGAAATATGTGAAGGGAACCATTAATTTTAGATGGTTATACAAGAAAGGGGGAGCAGTTAAAATAGTTGGATACTATGATGCGGATTGTGCTGGAGACCATGACATAGGACGATCAACAGCATGCTATGTTTTCCATCTTAGGTCAAGACCAATTTCTTGGTGTAGTAATAACAACCTATAATATCACTCTCAACTATTGAAGTTGAATACAGAGCACGGCAATGGCGGCTTAAGAAAGCACATGGTTAATGTAGTCGATAAAGGATTTCACCAGAAAATAGACTACCCAATAAAACTTCATTGTGAGAATCTTTCAGCTATACAAATAACAGAATCCGGTATTTAACTCAAGAACTAAGCATATAGAAGTTTATTATCATTTCCTCAGAGAGAAGGTGCTAAGTGAAGAAATAGAAGTGAAGCCAATCATGACTAAAGACCAAGTAGCACACATGTTCAATAAAAGTCTAAATTCCTCTTAAGTTTGTAGAATTTTATGACCGACTTGGTATGACAAATAAATCAAAGAAGTACGTGCCAAGGGGGAGTGTTTAAAATCAGCAAGTCTTTGCCATAATTTCCCAGAAATTTCCTAAAGCCTAACAACATACATTAGCCAATGATATGGTTTCTTAAGTGTGAGGTGTTCCAGATGCAAACTTTGACCACTTCCTTCCTATTGAAGAACTCCAAGATGCAAGATTTTCTTCTACTCAAAGAAAGCAGCACAAGAATTCTATTGATTACCTAGCACGATTTGTCCTTCACGTCTTATTGGTTGGCTATATAATTCATTTGTTTGAAGATGAGTTGTTGATTTGTTCAGATTTTATTGGTCTACGATGCTGCTGCTTTTCTCCAATCCTATTGCCTATAGAGTTCTATAAATAGGGGAGCTACCTCACTTTGTGTCCTGTATCTGATAATTTTTGAGTGTGTTCTGGTCAGTTTTGAGAGTGTGTGTTCTGATCAAGTTTGAGAGTGATTGTTACTAAGCTTCATGTACTGGTATTGATTTAATAAAAGAAAGTGTGCCTTTATCCCATTTTAGCACTTAAAATTTATCACTGCCTCTCTTACTCCCAGCATGCATATTAGACTCTCCAAGTACCAGTAACAGTGGTAACTAGTCAAATTTGTAAGAACATGAGAGGTTAGTGGTCTATCTCAATGTTTTGCACTGTGTTTAATTAAATCCCCACCCACTCTCCACCAACAAATGAAGGGAAAAATGAGAAAGCCAAGAGAGAGTAGTTCAATTAGTTCTCTGTAACCAACCAGATAGACTGCAATGAAAAATTAGCAGACTAATGTTAGGTGCATTTTAAAGCGGTTGTCTTTCTCCTTGTATTTAAATTTTTATTCCTCTTAATGACAGAGCATAATGACAATTTTACAACGCCATCTTTCATACAGAACTATGATAGGGTGATGGGGTTGGGAAGGATCTTTGGTTAATACAAGGCATTATAGATCTATTAAAAATTCTTCCCAACTTTCTCTTATGCGTACCTGATGATAGAAATAATCATAAAGACGTAAAATATGGTGTTCATCTGCCGGATCATGCTTGTTTACAAACTTTAGAAGTTTGATTTCATCTAAGCTTTGATCAAAAAAGTCTTTGTCATTTTTTATAATCTTCAAGCAAACATCCATCCCCAAGTGAAGATCATGAGCCTGAACCACTTTGCTGAAAGCTGCAGATCCTAGATACTCCGTAACATAATATCTACCCGCTATGACACTATTCAGAACAATAGGTAGATCCTTATTCTCTTCAAATCCTGTCCTGTGTTAAATGGCTTAATAAATCAATACAACTTTTTTCCACAAAACAATTGAAAAAAATAAGTAACAAGCTCAAATTCTACATAAAAGAAGGAATGATGGGTGATGGATGGGCTTACAAACCTGTTTTTTCTGTGTATAATTCTTAGGTCGAATATTTCATAATCTTCTTCCGTGTTGTCGTACATCAGAAGCTCATCAGATATTAGACCGCCCTCTTCATCCGCTGCAGCTTCAGATTCACAAGGCTCTCCAGCAATCACTTCATCATTTTTTATTTCAAAGTTGTCATGTTCATTTGGAATGTTATCTTTCGTATTGAAACCTCCGACCCAATCATATGTAGATTTTCTTTTGGTGAAGTCATTTTGACTGTCAACAGGTTGCCCCCTTGAATGCCTAAACTGAACATCATTTGCATCCACAACTTTTAGATGCTTGCAATGTTCTCCATGTTTCTCATCACTTTGTTCAAGTCGAAAGTCATAGTTCAAGTCATAATGATCTTTATAAGCTTCATCTTTCACATTTTCAACTGACATTAAAGGCAAACCCTTTTCGGAATAATTAGTGTATTCTTCCGAAATAAAACTGTAATCGACTTGATCTGCAAAGGGCTTTTCAATCTGGACAGTCGTGATATACTTATCCTCACTTGGATCACCATCAGAATCTCGGCCCACAAAGAGGGGTGGCATAGCATAGTCTTCATCATTTTCCTTGTACCAGAATAGATCATTTTGCATGTCAAAATCGGGATAATCTCGTGCAGTACCAAACTGAGACAACCTATCAGATGAAGCTTGAGAAGTCGGTCTGGTAGTTGTATGAATGCCGTAAGGATTCGTAAAATCTGAAAATATAAATAAATGAAAGACCGAAATAAAACTATGAATAATTCAGTTCTGGTACTCAAATAGTGAAAAACTAGGATAATTCATCATCAAATTGGGTACACTTCAATTTCAAAATTTACATAATTGGCCAAACATTTAAATTGCCACATATACATGCACACAAATAATAATTCAACCCATAACCAAACAGTGATATTATGCACAAAACTGCCAAATCCCGTATTAAGAAAAAGGGGAAAAGGGATTGAATAATTTATAAAAAAAATATGCGAAGAACAAAAAAAAGAGAGAAAAAGTAATATTACCAGAAGAACATAATTCAGTAGTAGAAGAACCCAAACTCACAAACTCCTCATCAGAAGAACCTGTACTTCCACCTTCATCAACTGAGGCAACCGCTAGCGGCCGCCGCCGATTGGCCGGAAGTTTTATCACCGGAGGCGGCGGTACCATAGGGAACAAAAACTTCTCAAAATCAAAAGCACCAAGTTGAGATTTCTCCATGATATCCTCCATGAGAGCAGATTCTGACTCTGACAACCCATTTTTTCTCAAGAATTCCAACACGGCGTCAAATTCAACGCCCGGAGCTTCCATATAGTAAAACAATAAAAAAATAAAATAAAATTCAAGAGAGAAGAAAAGGGAATAACAAAAAGTGACGTAATTGTGAATTCATGGGTTTTGGAGTGCAGTGTCCAGCAGAGTCAAAAGTATGAATTGATTGATTTCCAGCAGTAGGGTTTTGCATGTCAGTTGTTTGTATATACGCCTATATACATATACACAGAAGAAAAAAAACACAGAGAGAGAAGCTTGGGACTACATGAAAGTGAAAGAAGAGAGAGAGCGGGTGATTTTCCACTTTCTGCTGTAAAACACAAGCCAACGGGCATGAGAGACGGATATCTTACCAACTTTGAAAAGTCGAGCGGAATTGGTTTTTGGTGGGCCTAATTGAAAGATTTCGACGATATATAGGTTGTTTTTGTCCTAAATTTATTTTATTGGGTATTATAGTATTTTTCCAATTTTCAATGGGGATGGGAGATTAAGGAGTCGTTACCACGTTCTGTGGACCATTTGTCTGTATTCGAATTTTCTCCATCATCATTAATCAAAAATTCTCTTTCGTTTGGTGGGGGTGGGTGGCGTGGGTTGGGGTTGGGACGTCATTACTCCTCAACCAGGTATACTTGATCCCACGCGGGTTGAATACGATAGTCCATTTATCTTATAAATGGTTCTTGAAGCAAAGTTCGGACTGACGGTGTTGTTTGGATTGATTTTTTTTTATTTTTTTTTTTTCATTTTTTGGGATCTAATTACGTTTAAAAAAGAATTTAATTGCATTTCTCGCCCTCGCCTCATTTTTTTTCGAAAAAAAATAAAATCAAATCAATTGTCACCTCCTACATTTCTCCTTTCATCACCGTTAATTTAAACTTTGATTCAGCATAGTTTGAATATGTTAATCAATCTTTTTTGTAAAGAGTGATACTATTCATATCGAAAACCATCGGTAATCATTCTATGTGACATACATGTATCGTTTTGTTATCTGATACATTAATGTGATAGTTTTTTATTGTCTCATATATCAAATAATGAAGCATGTATGTCACATAGAAAGACTATTGATAGTTTTCATTATGAATAACATTACTCGTTATTAAAAGATTATTAAAGTAATATCAGGATAAATAGTGTTTATTGACTGGAATCTCGAATTAATTCTAGAAACGTAGATCTCAATTGTAATAACGAAAATCCTTAATCAATCATGACAAAAGAGAATTGGTACTCTATGTAGTGGTTATTGTGATTAACATATGCAATAATGCACGTATTAAGTTGTGGGTTTACTCTTGTAGTTGCTTGTTAATTATATTTAAGCATTTAAAGGATAGTCCATCCTTTGCCTTGTCCCATTCCCATTTTGGGTGTCCAAATCTAATTATAAAATTCAATCTAAGAATTATTATAGTTTGAGGTTGGTCCTAATCATGCTGCTTAAATACTAAATATGCAACCTCCGTATTATTTATGATTAATTTGAAAATATATAGTAGTTGGCGTTGAAAAATGGCTTTGAACATCGCTATCACATTGCTAGTGAATCACTCTATATTAGTTGTATTTATTTTTACATTAGTTGTAATTTATTATTTGCTTAAAATTATTTATGGATAAATGAAAATTTAAATTGTCTATTATATGTAATCATGGTGATATGTTGTTAGAAAGTGCAGCCTCTTTATTATTTATATAATTAATGAAAGAATATATAATGGTTGTTATTGTCCCATACTTGGACAACAAGTTTTAGTCCATATTTGATGGTTATTATTTTGAAAAAATAATATTTTAAAATTGTAATTTTTAGAAGAATGTGTGGTTAAAAATTATTAAAAAAAAATTGGATTACATACAAAATATTTTATTGTATAAATGTATGATTAAAATGAATTTGTGAAAAAATGGATTTTCAAATAATAGTTGGGTTTAAATTATATTGGTGCATGCATGTGTTGCATAAATTCCTGTCCTCTTTTGGTACTTAAGAATTTTAATCTCAAGTACTAGGACATTTATAAAGAAATAAAAATAAAATAAAAAATAAAGGGAGCTTTTCAGTTCATTTGCTTATCAATGTTTTAAAATTATTTAGGCTTTTATGGGTAGAAAATGTTATAAAGTAGTTTCTTAGCCTTTACAAACTACTAGGTTTCTGTTTTAAAATTGCTTTAAAATCTTGAATGCAAGGATAACGTCAGAACAAACTAAGATAAATGTGTGGTTTCTTGTATTGTTATTTTTCATTATTTTGTTGGTTTGGTACTTAAAGATTTAATTAAATTAATAATATACAAAAATAATATGTCATATTAATTGGGACTCTCTTTTTACACTTTTTTCTTTGATATAACAATTGAATTTCATTCATTTAAATTAGCTACTAGAGTACTTACACTGAAGTTCGGCATGTATCAACTCACATCGTATTTTCAAAGTACGTAAAACATGTTTTGCAAGGATGTTAACTATGGCATTTGCTTCCCAATGAATAAACGTTTCTATTTACGATATACCTCATACTTATTGAAAATCATAAAATCCCCCATTTTTCAAACGTTTTGTAAGAAAAACACTCCTACCGTCAACATTCATCTAGTGTATCGTTAAATCCCAGGAAAATGAATAACTAAGGAAGAGCAAATGCTTCAATTCATATTTTCGTATTTAATAACACCCGTCCAGCACTAGCATTTTCTTTATGTTCTTCATTTCATTACTTGACACAACTTCGTTTCTTGCATACGTAGCTGCAACCACTTCACCATTAGCTCCAATGGACATGAATGTGGAATGGAGATTGAACAGAAGACTTCATGGACGGCAATGAACTCAGGAAGAAGGTTCTTTACATGCACACAAGGGTTGGTAATGAAACCCCGAACACAGTTTTTGAACCATTTTTCTTATTGAGTATGCTCAGGCTCTAATATTTTTTTTATTTTTATTTTTATTTTCTATAGCAAAATGCAGGTTATGGGTACTTCCCGTGGTTTGACCCATCTATGTGTAGTAGATTTGTGGAAATCATACCTAGGCTATTGAGATCCAGGAATCTCACTCGAACAATAGTTGTTGGAACTACAAAGGCAAAGTAGTGTTTTTAGATTTGGGTTTTTGTATGGATATATAGTGATGTGGGTTTTGGCGAAAAATAAAGCTTCGATCGCGCATCGAATGGATTTTAGTAAATGTTGTGCTTTGGTGTTCAAGTTCTGTAAGTTAGATATTTAATGTGATGTTTCAATTTCTTCCTCTCCATTTTTTTTTTTTTTTGCCTAGTTGTTCATTGGTAATGTCAGCGTGACACATCATTTGATCTAATTTCGCTGTGAAAAGCCCCCTAAACATTAAATAGGTTTCATGATACAACTCTGGAAGCATATAACAACGTAATATACAACCCTCTATTATTCTAAACCTAAGACAATTTAACCTTATTTTTTATGTGCGTTTACACAAAATCAACCTTAGACTGATGAAGATTGCAAATTACTATAATACTGTACCAATTCAATATTATTCACAAAAAACAAGACATCCACACGTCAAAAGCTATACATTGATACACCAAATATTACTAGTCTATGATAACAATTGTTCACATTACTATAGAATAAGAACCAACAGCATTACCGTTAACCTCGCAAATTGGACTTCCCACGTGGCCAACCGATAGTTACTCGATGTGATCCTCCCTGCACACAATTAATGTACGGTCAGACACACATGGTCGGAATCAGCGAGGGTGGTGGTGATCGCATACACTCCGATGGTCAAGTTAGTATCTAGTGATCGGAACAATCCTCGAGTTGTGCAAGAGAGTGGAGAGGAGAATATATATTTTCTTGTTATGGAGAGCTAAGTTGTAAGAGATTCATTACCTTTGCCTTTTGTCAAACCTTGGGTATTTATAGGTGAGGAAAATCGTTGGATGTTGGACACGTGTATACATCTGACGGTGTGAGGCGTCTGCTCATAGGCGTCAATCAGTCGCGTCTATAGAGTGGGCGGGTAATAACTTCTCCTGAGTTAAGTTGACATAAAGTTGATACGTCACATCAACTAGATCCACGGAGACGTCAAATCAATTAAGTCTTGAGGGCAGAGATGATCTTGATACAGATCTCTTTCTGAAAGTGACGGCGGATCCGCTGAAGGAGAACCTCGGAGTGCATTGCGCTTCGACGTCAAGGACACTTTGATCGGTTCAGTAGAATTGTTTTGTGCCTTGCAGCGCGCGGACATTGGTGGTGGACACCTGGTATGATGCAGTGGTAGACTTTTCGAAGTGGTTTAGCTAGGCGCGTAACAGTGGTCCTCAAGTTCAGGCATGAATATTTATATCATGGGTGAACTTGTTTTCCCGATCGAGTATGCCTGCCTTGGTTTGTGATAAAGAGCTGGCGTGGAAGGGCAAAGTGTGTAGATGGCCCGAAAGCTTGTGGATCAGTTTTTTATGTTCACCGAACAGATGTGGGTAGGTGCTCATCTTCTCCCGAGGCGTTGGCCTTAGAGGACGATGCGTTGGGAAAAGGTCAAAGCCTTATGAAGCTTAGGATCGGGATACATCTCTGACCGAGGCGCTGACCTACAGAGACGATGCGTGGGAGATGGTGAAGCTTGTGAAGCTGAAGGTCGGGACACATCTTCGACTGAGGCGCTGAAGCTTCGGTGCTTCCTAAGGAAGGAGCTCATCCGCCACTGATGGGCTAACCCACAGGGACGACGTATTGGGAGACGGCTAAAGCGTTGTAAGCTTAGGAAGGAACCCATCCACCGAGGCGATGATATACAGGGGACTCCACATCAAGAGCGTCTAAGCTTTGTAAGCTGAATGGGGAGCTCATCTGCTATTGGTGCGCTGACCCACAAGGGACGACGCGTTGGAAAATGGCTAAAGCTTTGTAAAGTTTAGGAGGGAATGTAGCCACCGAGGCGATGACCCCCAGGGGACTCCGCATTAAGTGTGTCTAAACTTTGTACAGCTGAGTAAGGAGCTCATCTACGACCGATGTGAGAATAGCTAAGGCTTTGTAAAGCTTAGGAGGGAACGCAGCTACCGAGGCGATGACTTACAGAGGACTCCACGTCAGGTGCGTCTAAACTTTGTAAAACTGAGTGAGGAGCTCATCTACCACTGGTGCGCTGACCTACAGGGGACGATGCGTTGGGAGATGGTTAAAGCTTTGTAAAGCTTAGGAGGGAACGCAGCTACTGAGGCGATGACCCGTAGGGGACTTCGTGTCAGGTACGTCTAAACTTTGTACAGCTGAGTGAGGAGCTCATTTACGACCAATGCGAGAGATGGCTAAAGCTTTGTAAAGTTTAGGAGGGAATGCAGCTAC